TAATTATCGTCTGTTCTAATAGAATTTTGTGGAAAGATTGTGAGTGAACTGGAAAGGTAAAAAATGTGTAAGGCTTTTCTAGATGCCTTGGTAGAACCAACTATAGATATATATAAGGGGATTCAGAGAACACTGAGAGGGAGATCACAAGATATTTTTTTTTTTTTTTACTTCACGAGACAAGGTGTGTTATTCTGTGTTGATTTATATGAGAATACATATTGATCTTTGTACCTTATTTTTTGCCCATTGTATTAACTGTGTATCGGTACAAGAAAACCCATACTCTGTAAGTTGATTATTTTAATTATGTTTCTTTTATTTTGTAATCCACAGTAACTTAATAAATCTTATTAATTGTAATTAGCTGTTTTGACACTGTTTTGAGTGTCGTATCTCTGTTATTGTTGTTCTTATCATTTGGTGTCTTCTTGTTATGCACTGTTTAGAACGAGCCATAAATTGTAAATAGGAGATTAATTTCTCTCCACGGATAGCAGTGTGTAACATCTATTTTAAGGCTATTTCAGTTGTTGTTTTTTGTTGTTTTTTATTCTTGTTTTTTTTTTCCTTGTTTTGTGTGAGTTTTTTTTTTGTACAGAAATGTGCGTAACACGTATCTCAGAAATAAAAATTCCAATATCATATTTGGCCATGAAAAGGGAAAAAAAATCAATAAAACTATCATCATCGGACTTAAATGCAACAGTACGGTGTTCTCATTATTAATTTTATTTGAAAATTATGTTTGTGGATAAAATGTATTGTTTAAATAGATATAACACTAAATATTCAAATATAGCATCTCGTAAATTGTTTTGTGCAAAAAAAAATAATAATAATAATTTGCTTGGCCATTTTCGGTTATTACCAATAATACAATTGCAAAATTTTTGCGGACCACCATACCCCAAGTCGGGAACCTGCTCAAATGAATTTTTATTTGTTTAAAAATAATATCCATCCCAACTTCAATTTTTTTTTTATTGTTAAATGAAAAATTAAAAGTAAAAATAAATTTAAAAGCTACGTTTGCGCAAAAGTGCGGCTAAGAAAGAAGTTAGAGGTTTCCGTTGCCACCCCTTTTTGCTTTTTAAATTTAAAAAAAAAAATTCAACTTCAATTTACATCTAAATAAATGTTAACAGTTCACATCCGTGAGTAAATTATTCCCCTCCACAGAATTATTATAATTATGTGCCTCAACTGTAAATTGTTGGTGATTAGCGGTAATGGGTGCTGGGTAGCCGAGCGGCTTCAACTTTTTAGAGCATGGTACAATTATAGACATTCTCATTTCAACATTGCTTTTTAACGAAAACAAAATAATTCATAGTTACAATTAAGAAGTGGCGCAACTAAGAGGGAGGAAGGGGAAGGGGACCACCCCAGGGGTGCAAAGGGGTGACAACCCTGAGAATGGGGATGCGTAATGGGGTGAAAATATGTTTTCTTATATAGACCTATTAAAATTAAACTTTAATGCCATTTGCTTTTGGAATAGAAAACTATTTCTTTTCAAATCATTTTGTATATTCATCATGATTTGTAATAATTTCCTCTCTTGCTTTGCTAATATTGAAATTTTAACGTAAACGCTAAAATTGATTGAATAAAGGAAAAAATACATAAAAATTGATACATAAATACATATTTTTGTACACATTTTGTTCCACTATTTATTTTCGTTATGGTGCTTCATTTTTTAATTTTTTTTTTTTTTTTTAAATCCTGTTTTTATCTGCGTGCCGAAAAAAACACCAAATTTTTGACAGTTCTACACTTCAATTTTTAAACTCCCATTTGGAACTCGCTAATTCAGCAGTGAATTTGATTTATCAACTATCCTTAATATTTGTTTATTTATTGCTTTACAAAATATTTTAATAACTAAAAGTCCCAAAATTTGGGAGCGATTTCTTAATATGGATGTGTACTAAGCTGCAGTGGCGTAGCTAGGGTTGGTGTCACCCGGTGCGGTAAACTCATGGTGTCACACCCCCCTCCCCCAAACTTCCATGATGGATTTCTTCTTGTTATAACACGTCCACAGTATAGCAGTGACATGAACAAAAACACATAAATCGGAGGTAATGAGGTCAATGTATTTAAAAACTGTAACAACCTTAAGTTATGTTATTTTTAGATTAAATTTACTTTAATTACAATGTCCTTTCTTTGTCTTCAAAGCTGCAAACCTGACAATCACTTGTTCAAAATTAATATCCTTTACTGTATCACTTTCAATTGAAAAGCTCCGCTCACATAAAGCCACATACACACATATCGTAAGAAAAAATTAAAGGTGCTGGGTGGCCGAGCGGTCTAAACTGTCTCAAACTAAATAGCCGTTGGTCCGGAGTTCAATCCCCATCAAAGCCATCCCAAGCACCCCGGGTGGATGGGACTCGTTAGCCTTGGACGGCAACCCATCTAAGAGAAGGCTAACTCTGAATTAAAACCAGGAGCCAGAATGATCAACAAATTGATCGTGGGCCCCTCAAATATAAGGAGAAGAAGATAGCAGAGCCGCATCAGAAAGCCTAGACTGTCCCATGGTGGATCGTATTGAGCGTGGCTTATTCCCTTTCATCTTAACCTTGTTTACTACCACGACCAACTAAAAATAATTATCGTCTGTTCTAATAGAATTTTGTGGAAAGATTGTGAGTGAACCGGATCATAATATCTCTTGATAAGCCTTGGTTTTGAAAAGCTCCGCTCACATAAAGCCACATACACACAGATCGTAAGAAAAAATTAAAGGCTTAATGAGAACATTGGACGAGATTCTAGGAAGTTCCATTCAGATGAATTTCCAAACATCAAATACTGACCAGTCCATGACTTTGTGAATATCAATATCACCTGCCCTTAGATGTCTTCTATGCCTTGGTTCATCCTTTGATAACTCATCATAGAAAGAAGTTAATTTTGGAACGGACACCAATAACTCACTTGCTGATACTAGACTCTTGGGTTGAACAGCCCCAAACATATCTCCTACTTCCTTGATCGCTGATGATCTGATCTGGAGTTCAGAATGAAAGCGATCAATCCAGAATCTATTACTTGTTCTCTTGCCATTCTTTTCTTAAACCTTAATATTCTCCCTACCGAAATTCCATATTGGTCTCATTTTAAAAGTGCTTTTTCAATAGCATGCTCCACCAAGTGATGGCGCTTCTCGTGCAGAAACAATCTTCAGGCCTCCAGGTTTGTCACCACTTTGTCAAGAGTAAATCCTTTAGTCTGCAGATACTGCTGTGTGATGTTAACTTCCTTAAGTAGATCAGGCCAAAGACAAAGGCAGGCCCGCCGAGAAGGGGGGGGGGCAAATGCCCAGGGGCCCGGCGAGATTTAGGGGCCCGGCCCGGAATCAACTTTTGAAAATATTATGATCAGCTATAAAAAATGTATTACTTTTACTTTTGTAAATATAACTGAACTAAACTTAATTACAATCAGATTAAACTTCAAGCATCTGACTATTGCCGTACTTATTTACCATTTTATCATTTTTATGCAATTCCGTCAATCCGTCGTCTTAGTACTTTCTTCTGCTGAAATAAACATCAATTTTTGAACACGAGTCACACGTGACACGACCAGAGAGNTACACATTGTCAAAACTGTGAGGCTGGGGGGGGGTGTCGAGATTTGTGACAGAGTGGGGTACACATTGTCAAAACTGTGAGGCTGGGGGGGGGTGTCGAGATTTGTGACAGAGTGGGGTACACATTGTCAAAACTGTGAGGCTGGGGGGGGGTGTCGAGATTTGTGACAGAGTGGGGTACACATTGTCAAAACTGTGAGGCTGGGGGGGGGTGTCGAGATTTGTGACAGAGTGGGGTACACATTGTCAAAACTGTGAGGCTGGGGGGGGGGGTCGAGATTTGTGACAGAGTGGGGTACACATTGTCAAAACTGTGAGGCTGGGGGGGGGTGTCGAGATTTGTGACAGAGTGGGGTACACATTGTCAAAACTGTGAGGCATACTTTAGGTACGGCTTCTTCAAGGTTTTCTCCAACTTTAATAATATATACTAGAATAAGTGACCCGATGTTATCGGGATGATAATGGTCGGCCCTTTCGCCTTTGTGATAATTTCTAGCTGCATTGTCAAAAACTCATCACAATTCCTAAATTTAAAAAGAAGTATCTGTGTAATGATATTTACGTTACCAACATCAATAATTTTTTGGAAGAATTTATCTGCTGTATATATGCCAACCCTACTCCCTTTCACGCCCATAAACCACATTTTTCCCCTCTAAACTTGGACTTAAATTACCCAATCTAAATTATCACTCAATCATTAATTATATCGCTTTTGCCACTAAAGAAGTTAATTGAGGGACGATTTCTACACTAGAGAAATACTTTATATTTACCCCTTTTCGTGCCCTTGAATAACACTTATTTTCTCTAAAAATTGTTAAAAAACATAATCTTAAATTTACAACAAAAACTCTACATATGATATAAAAATATTTTATATTAAAGGAATTTGATATATTGATATCTTCATCAAAAAAAGAAATAAACGTTTTCCTTTTTTAAAAAAAATTATAGGCTACATTATCAGAAAATCGTAAAACAAAGATTTCTTTTATCTAAAGAAGAATCTCTATTTAAATTAATGATCAAACATTTTTGAACAGTATATGCACCGATGTAAACAAAAACCATTTGTTCCTGAATATTATTCTCTCCCCTCCCCCCCCCCCCCCCCCCCCCCCCCACCATTAGGTATGGATATTAATTTCAAGTGCATGGAAGAAGGAATTTTTCAAAGATGTTTTAAGTTTAAACCATTTCTTTTGAGGTAAACAGGTAAATTTTCTCTATTGTGAGAAAATGACATTTACATCAAGTAATTGGAAGACAACAGGCTGCCAGCTGTTCAAGAACTTTCAGAGTCGAATTTCAGAGTCAAATTTCAGAGGAAAATTGTATCTTAAATAGTTTAATGTTTTGTCTCGAGTCTAGAAAATAAATGACACAATTGTGACACATATATATATTTTACACAAAGTTATATTTTACACAAATATATCTTTTACACAAATATATCTTTTTCAATATATATATCATTTAAACAAATATATCTTTTACACAAATATATCTTTTTCACAAACATATCATTTACACAAATATATTTTGTATTTAATTATCTTTGACACAAATATGTTTTTTTTGTGTGGAAAATTTGAGAGTTGCTCCTACTCTTACATAGGAAATGCAATATTTATGTTTAACTAATTTATTTCTTATGTTGTAGAAATTATTGAAAATTCTTCATAAATTCTTCATAAAATATATGAATCTGGGTTTATAGAAAATTGTAAGATTTAATGACCAAGTTGCAGTGATGCCTCCCTCAGACAAAGTGTCCATGTTTAAGGAGCAAGGAGCAGTGATGCCTCCACCATTCCAGCATTACGAAGGGTCCTCTCTAATGTGCTTGCTTTAGCGTTCTCCCCCTCACGAGCCTTCCAGTTGAGCAGAACTTGATAAGCCTGGAAACAGGAATGGTAAAGATTCAGCAAATCAACGTCCATTCTAAACAGGAATGGCAAAGATTCAGCAAATCAACATCCATTCTAAACAGGAATGGCAAAGATTCAGCAAATCAACATCCACTCTACATTGCATGCAAAATAATAAATGTTAGAATCATTTTAGTTATTATTAATCAAAGACATCAATATAATACTCTTTTTGATAATTTAAAGCAAATATATTTGTTTGTATTTAATAAAAAGCATGTCATTATAAAGACATTGACTATAAATTTTGCATCTGGGCATTTAGATCTCAAACAAGAGATTTGTATGTAGGTTGTATAGAATCATAGAATTATACATGAGATTTCTATATAGGTTGCATAGAATCATTAAATTATCTGAGAGATAAAGAACTAACAAACAAGAGATTTGTATATAGCTTGTATAGAATCATACAATTATCTGAGAGACAAAGAACGAACAAACAAAACCCACAGCATCTCGACTCAGTTACGTGCCTGTTTGTATGTGTTCCCTGGATTGTTGAGACATATTCTGTCAATATCTTCAGAGAAGAATCCCAAACGATTGGCAACTAATGCCCAGTCTTTCCTGATTAGGTGAAATTTGGAAAAAAAAAATTATGACAAATTTCTTATAACTGAAAAGAATTCATAAAAACCAAGAGATTGATCAATTGTTCGCAAGATTATTTTTTTTTAAAGGCAGACTGCACTGGTTCGGACACCTTAAGAAGATGCAAAATTGTAGAGCAGGAAAATTGTTCTATGGGCAGAAACCTAGGGGCAGACGGCTCGTGGTTCCGCCAAGACAGAGAGAACTTACATGATTGATGCAGATGGAAGTATGTGGTGGAACAGGCCAAGGCTCTATTTGGACTGTAATGCCACTGATGATGATCTGGGGGAGCAGGCTAGGGCCCTCTTTGGACTGTGGCACCACTGATGTTGATGCTGATAAGTGCATTTGTTTGATCTTTTTAAGTTATGAATGAAAAATTATTTTTTTTATCAAAAAGTTATGTTAAGACAAAGAACACAAAGTATTAAAATTTTGGCATTATATATGTAGATGGAAGTATGTGGTGGAACAGGCCAAGGCTCTATTTGGACTGTAATGCCACTGATGATGATCTGGGGGAGCAGGCTAGGGCCCTCTTTGGACTGTGGCACCACTGATGTTGATGTTGATAAGTGCATTTGTTTGATCTTTTTAAGTTATGAATGAAAAATTATTTTTTTTATCAAAAAGTTATGTTAAGACAAAGAACACAAAGTATTAAAATTTTGGCATTATATATGACCTACCTGTGTATTTTTTCAGCCACCTCCCCAAGGATACTATCTGAGGGTATCTGTTGCACAAGTGGACTGGGCGTGTAGAAGGCAGCTTGACTGCTGAACTGTTTCATGTGGAAGAGAACAAGAAATTATTTCACATGGGCTCAGAGACCAAACCCATTATTGTCCAAGTGACTTGTGAAACCTAGAGTCGATTTCATGGCTATAGCCCTAAAGGTCATGGTTCAAAGGTGAAAGTGAAACATATATTTATGACAATGGTTTGTAAACCATTCATATTTAATCTAGATGAATCTTCAAATAAAAACCCTGTCTGACCTCTGGTAGGTTTTTATGGACATTTTCTCTCATTGGCTCAGAGAGTATGTGAAAGTTTAGGATGCTTTGAGTCTGGGGTCTGGGAAGGCCTAAGACTGATTTCACAAACCCACTCTCATCAATTTGACCTGTTGATGTAAAGTACATTTTAACAATGTTTTTTTTTCTTTGCTGGGTTGAACAGACTTTAATATATTTTTTAAATGTTTAAAAAGGACACAAAACATGGTACATAAAATAATTATAAGTATATATTGGCATTTTGGATTCAGATGAGTGAATTCATGGATAAAGGGAAACATTAATAAATAAAATATAATGATAAAATTCTTCATTGGCAAACATAAAGTATGCCTAATCATATAATAGAGTATAATAACTCAACAGAAAATATTTTTCTCTGGTTACATGTAAACCCACCTTTATTTGATGTGTCCACAGCATTGAAAAATATGTTGGTTATTCTCCTGATTTCATCCTTTAAAAAACATGAAGTAATATTATTTATAGTGTCATTTTTATCATAAGAATTGTAGTTAATGTATTTTGATGAGTTTTATTTATATCAGTATAAAATATTTGATTATTAAAATTGGGTTGTTCACCTCATTTTGATCAGAATATATCCTGCTCAGAATTTTCTGGAAAATATCCTTTGGAATGGGGTTTCCATTGTTCAACATTTGAAATATAGCTGAAAAATAAATATATATAGGCCTATTGTCATGGATTTTATTTCCATTAAAAAACAGATGAATTTAGAATGTTTTAAGTTCAAAAGATGAGCTAGTATCAGATTTTTGTAAGAAAACGACATTTCTTTAAATATCTTATTCCTGCCTTACCTTTAGCTTTCAGCGGCAGTTCCTGACTTTCACTCCACTTGAGGGCACGAAGGAAAGACTCAAATGAAATGTTACCATCAGAGCTCTTAAAATATTTTAAAATCTGCAATGTAAAAGAAAAAAATATTCAAATTCATATATGACAACCTATACTGTTTACCCCCTCCATTAAATACCATGTACAGTTGTTTCTAAATTAATTTTGTTTACTTTTTCTACATTTTTTTATTCCACAGGTTGGCACGTTTGATCGTGTTACATTTATTGGGGACATTGGGAAAAATGTTTGTAATAAATAACTATTGGGGCAGAAACAGATTTTTCAAAACTCAATCAAAGCCAGTAACCACATGGCGTTACTTAAATATGATGATAATAATAATATATTCTAATAGAGGTCTTTTCTAATGGGATCAATTATTAGAGACACAAAATGAGAGCCAGTTTTAAAATTTAAAAAAAAATATATTAGGCAGGTCTACATTAACAACCATTCTTAATTTTTAGTACTTTCTACTGCAAATAAAAACAACATGAAATGCATAACTTTAAAACTTATTTAAAATCCCTGATATTTGTTTCGTTTAGATACAAAACAAAAAACCATTAATTTTGTCAATTTCTACATAGGCCACAATATGAATATGAACATACATTTTTTACAAAAACATCAGAAGACAACTTTGGACTGGTCAGAGCTTCCAGAGTCAAAAGGCCATCAGAGTTAGCTCCCATCTGCTGAAACCTGAGCCATAAACGTTCTACTTCAGCTATACTTACTGATGTAGTAAATAGAAGAAAGCATTATAAAGACATCATTAAAGGTGAGGCAAAGATTAAACATTACAGCCAAATTACCCAACTAAAATATTCGATGCTGTGTATTTTTCAATAATGCTTAAAACTCAGTGTAAGTGTTGAAATCTTAAACCACAAAAAAGTTAATAAAATACTAAGAATGGTACTCATTAAAAAAAACAATTTCTATATGCCAACAATATCTAATAAATTTCTATGGAGTGAAAAATTACCCTCACATAATTTCTTCACCATTTCTATTAAATAAAAACACATCTTTCCAACAAAGACTAATTGTAGCTCATGCTTCTTGAATGTTTTCTTGAGACTAACAATGATGCTAAATATTGATCACATTTATGGTCCCTTTTTTTTTTACTGGTCTCTATATTTGTATTGATAATAAAAACATAGGACCTTGTCCAAATATTCTCAAGACAACTCCAATGTTATAAAGGTTGTAGAATATGTAAACAGGAAATAGAGTGATCATGCATTGCCAAATGTAATTAATTATTTGAAGAAATATATAAGTTATTTTGTAAATATTTAAAAAATTTTCACATTTTTTAAATTTTATTTTACTGTATATCAACTGTTTTCAAAATTTATGTTTTATGACTAACTAACTAAATGATTTAAGTGTGCTATTCCTTTTCAACATCACACTATGTTAGAGTATGGTTTTTAATTATGGTAACAGAAGTTAACAAGCCTCCATTGAAATGTTTACTGATTTACTGTGAAGCCTTCCTGTCATAAAAAAAATAAAAAATTTCAAGTGATATAAATTTGAATTTTTCGTATTAAACATGATTTAGTCTTAAATCGCTGGTTAACTTACACTCAGTTGAAATTGCATGTGCTGTGATCCAATTTGGCTTAGTTGGATGAGAGATGTTGGCAACAGCCATCTCAGAGGTTGGCTCCATGACAAAACTACTACTGTAAACACCCATGGTCTAAATAGTCTGTTCTTGCTTTAAATGATATTTCTTGGAATTTAAAAGTGTTTTATTATTTCCAACTCTGCAACTTTTATTTTGCACAAGAAATAAGACATTTTTTATATAAAAACATCCAGAAAATTGTAAAATAGGCCTATATCTGAAGCACTATATTTGCTCTAAGGCATAGCTTATATTTTCTCCAGTATGAATAGTTTAAAATTAAGTTTATCTAAAACAATGTCCTTTTTAAAAACTTAAAATTATATAAATCTGTAAACACATCTAAGTATTACAATTTTTACCTCTTAGTCTATTCAAAAGTGTGAGTTAATTAAGCCTTTTTTTAGTGATAAGTTTAGTGTGTTCAAGATAAAAATAAGTTTTATGAATGGGTCAAAGCTATACATTAATTCATTCACTGTTCATTATTGTCCATATTACAATATGTCATTGGTCTCTAGCGCAGAGCTCTGCAACAACAAATAAAAACATGGATATTAAACTAACATAATGTAGTTAATATTAAAAATGATACGTAAAAATGATGTGCAATGCAAAAAGGTTATAAGAAAACTATATTGCTCCATATTAACTGTCAGTATTTGACACAATTCTGTTATCACAGATTTAACAACTCAGTTATTGGCTAAACAACGCATCTTTTGTAGCAACGGAGTTTTATCATATTAACGTGCCTACTTTAACTCTGTGCTGTTCCTCCTCTTGAGGTCATTTTGTGCAGCACACCTGGCATAATCTCTAGGCACACCAATTGCAGAGCTCTGCTCTAGAAAGAAGATTTAGGCTGTAGATGAAACATTTTTCTTTAAAAACTAGAAGTACTAAATACACCTCGTTTAGCAGTACTGAAACTCCCGCAGCTTGAACATGTACTTGCGTTTGTCAATGGTACGTAGCTCCAGCTGTCACATGCCTATATAATTGTAAATGATTTTTATGTTGGGCAGTTTGTGTTCAAAATGAGTCTCTCCATGAAGGAAAAAAGTATTCATAGTTGAACAATATTTTGCTCAAATGTTAGTGAATGCTAATGAGGGTCCTGCTGGGACGAGCACATTAACAATGTGTCATCATCATCATGTCCCTTAGTCCTTGGACCATTGGTGCGACACAGATGACATGAAAACTATCCTTCTCCATTCCTCTCTGTTTTCTGCACTTTGCACAGCATCGCCTAATTTTAGTCCCGTCCACTCTTTGATGTTATCTTCCCATCTTTTTCTCTGTCTTCCTCTTCTTATCCCTCCTCTCAATGTGCCCTGCATGATTTCTTTGGCGAGCCCTTGTTTTCTTGTCACGTTGTTTCTTTCTAGTTTGTGCTTTTTTACAGGGGACTGGAACAATATTCCAAAAGCAACAGTTGAGGCGGCTACACTTGACACATTTGCACAGTTACATCCCAAACCACTCTGAAACTTAAGGGCCAGAATGATCAATTCATTGATCCATCCATCCATCCCTGTGGCGCTACATCCCATGTAGGGCTTTGGCCTGCCTCACCACTTCATTCCACTCAGACCTAGCTAATGCCTTTCTTTTCCATGCTTGGACTTTCAGCTGCTGTAGATCTTTTTCCACATCATCTATCCACCTAAGCCTAGGTCTGCCTTTGAGCCTTTTTCCTCTGGGGTATTGGTGATGCACCCTCTTTGTTCCTCTGTCATTTCACATTCTCTCTAGGTGTCCTGCCCAGCGTAGCCTGCCTCTTTTTATTTCTGCTACTATCGTGTTTTTCTGATATGGACTGTATAATTCATGCATAATTCTCTATCCATATTCATCCTTTGTTGGCCCATATATTTTCCTGAGAACTTTCCTCTCCCATGTTTTTAATAGGTTTTCTGCTATTTTTGTTAGAGTCCAATTCATTGATAGTAGGCCCTCAAAATATAGAAGAAGAATGCTAATTTTGATAGTATTTTGAAAAAAGATGCAGAATAATTCCCAGAGAGATTTTTTTAAAAGGCACCAAGTTACATGGTTCTAAAAAGTTTTTCATGCCAATGGAACGAAAAGCGTTAACAACGTGTTAATGAATGTGACTTTCATAAATGAACCTCTCATTCCTATAAAAATCTGGAACCTTGTACACCATATCCAGAAATGTACGCAATACATCATCCTGGTTCTGCATATCCGGCTCCACCAAGCACTGTCCATCCTGTATCAGGTCCAAAGATGCACCTATGTCCTTAAACAATAACTGAATGGACATAATACTGATGTTCAGTTTGAAGGATGTTCCCCATAGACTTCATAGGGGCGAACATGCATGATTTTCACTACTCAAAAACGAATTGGTGGATCAGACATTTCCTCCATTGACACAATACACTTCCATAAAGGAGAAATATCATAAAAATAGACAGCATAATTAATTGTGTTACTTGGTGCCGTCATATTAAATCTCTTTTGGAACTGTTCTGCCCGCTTTGTTCAAACACAATCCCCCTTCACAATCACTTAATCACTAACCTATGAGCGAAAATTGTGGTCGACTATAAATATTTTGCCTCCGTCAAAAGACCCATTTGCAACAAACACTGCCCAAAAAATAATACTTTTCACTTCTTGGAACATATGGTGGCTGAAGCTTTGTACTGTTGAACCAGATCAAGAGACTGCAGTTTCAGTACTGTCACTTTTGGCGCACACTCTGCTCACTCACCTTACTCTGCTATAATAGTCTAAATGCTAAATAATAGGATTTTACATTACAATTGTTAAGGAAGCATATAAAAATAAATATGTATTGACAGTAAGACATCGATATTCCTGGCATCAAATATACAGTGTGTTAAATCCAGATAGCCTTATTAGAAAAAGAATGTTTGTGCAGCGAGAATCGCAACATCATTTAAATTTTGAGTGAATGTACATGTGACTCTAAACATGACTCAACTAAAAACATATCTTAATACATTTTTGCCACCATGTCAGTAACCTTCACAGTCACAAATCATGTGGTAAACCATGACTTCAATATTTAACTTAATAATATATATTTGTTTTTTAGTGTTATTTTCAGTAAAGCCGCCATGGGGTCAGTAGCCTAAGCCTTGTATGAATACATATTTAATTTCAAATGTGTTGACTATAGGGGATAGTAGAGATAAATGGTGTTTCTTTCTGGTTTGAAAAAATATCACTTATTATAACTTATTCTAAGCAAAGGCAAAAGGCATCAGACATCATAGGCATAGGCCTATTGACTGTGGTCAATCCTAGTAAGGGGCTATGGTCTCTGTGCTGGATTTGAAAATTAAAAAAATCCAGATAAATTAGTCAATTGGTCTGAATTATTGATGTCTTGATTTATATTATTATCAACAAAAAAATATATATTTTATATATATAAAAAATAACATATATAAATATATAATATATATATATGCTTGGGAGGCATGCTGTTGGGAGCCAGTCATTTGCAGATGACACGCAGCTATACAAGCATACCCATCCTTCTCTTGTTGAATCCGCTGTCCAGACTTTGCGGGGGTGCATTGATGATGTCAAATCATGGATGACACTCAGCAAGTTGAAGCTTAATGATGACAAAACGGAAGCACTCCTCATCCACAATCACACATCATCCTCTACCTCAACTCTTCCTACCTCATTTCAAGTAGGTAACTCTGACGTACGGTTTACACCCTCTGCTAGGAATCTTGGTTATATTCTTTCTAACAACATGTCTCTCGATAAACACATATCTCACATTTGTCGTTCAGCATACACCACTATCCGTCAGATCAGCTCCATACGCCACTACCTCACAGTTAGCGCTACAAAAACTCTAGTCTGTGCTCTTGTTCTCTCTCGTCTTGACTATTGCAACTCTCTTCTGTCAGGTTCACCAAAACACTGCATAGAAAAACTGCAGAAAGTTCAAAACTCAGCTGCTAGGCTAGTTTTATACTTTGCGGGGGTGCATTGATGATGTCAAGTCATGGATGACACTCAGCAAGTTGAAGCTTAATGATGACAAAACGGAAGCACTCCTCATCCACAATCACACATCATCCTCTACCTCAACTCTTCCTACCTCATTTCAAGTAGGTAACTCTGACGTACGGTTTACACCCTCTGCTAGGAATCTTGGTTATATTCTTTCTAACAACATGTCTCTCGATAAACACATATCTCACATTTGTCGTTCAGCATACACCACTATCCGTCAGATCAGCTCCATACGCCACTACCTCACAGTTAGCGCTACAAAAACTCTAGTCTGTGCTCTTGTTCTCTCTCGTCTTGACTATTGCAACTCTCTTCTGTCAGGTTCACCAAAACACTGCATAGAAAAACTGCAGAAAGTTCAAAACTCAGCTGCTAGGCTAGTTTTAAAGGCAAAAAAACGTGATCACGTCACTCCACTACTCCATTCCCTTCATTGGCTACCTATACAGGCACGCATTGACTACAAGTTGTCTGTTCTCTGTCACAACTTTTTCTTGGATTCCTGCCCTTCCTATCTAACCGAACTTCTTTCTGTCTATTCACCCCTTCGACAGCTTCGCTCCTCTGCAGACACGCGTATTCTGTCCGTTCCCAAGACACACACTAAAACATATGGTGAACGATCTTTCTCTTTCTGCGCCCCCAAACAATGGAATTCTTTGCCACTAAACATACGCAATATACCAACCACCCAGGCCTTCAAAACTGCACTAAAAACATATCTTTTTAAATTATACTACCCTGACTGATTCCCCTCCTCTGACCGATAAATGATCTTATTGGCTGCTGTCCATGGTTTGCCTTGTAAAAGTTATGTGGTGGGGTGGGTGAATATACATTGCTGTTCTTTATTTCATAAATGTATTTTATTTTAATATCATGATTATGTCTCTTTTGATAAAATTTTTATGTACCGCGCTATATAAGACGTTTTATTATTATTATTATTATTATTATTATGTATATATATATATATATTATATATATATTATATGACTTATATATATATCTAAATGAATGAAATATAGGAGCAATGTAGTGGAAGCTTGAAATATATGTAATAATATATTATTATAATATAATATATTATAGCCTGGTACAATAAATGAAAAAAGAAGAATGTTTTGGTTAAGTAAGAGTAAGAGTAAGAGCCTTCCTGCCTTTGCCTTAGGCGCCTTAGCCGCCTTAGGACTAGGCCCTTAGCAGAATGGACAAACTTATGCTGAGGAGACTCTTCTTTCTTACTCTTAAGTTTAAGTCCAAGTAAGTAAAATGTAATTGAATTAATTCTTAACTTTTACTTATTAGTAGTATATAACTTAGAAGTCGCCGGTCATCTTATTATTTATTACTTAATTCTTAGTAATCTTAATCTTAGTCTTATATTTTATTTGCGAAGTGGATGCGTACACCGCGGCGGTGTACCTAGCGAAACCTTCGGCTTTGGCCTGCGTAAACCGCGGCGGTGTACCTAGTGAAATCGTGGGCTTTGGCCTGGGTACACCGTGGCAAAAATTTACCATTGGCCTGGTTTTAAGATATACTTGTAGGAGAAGATCTTGTTTGGTCAAGTGGTAGAGTGGACGCTTGGCGATAATATAGTTTGAGATCAATTCTCAGTAGGGGATCGAGTTTTTTTCCTCCCATTTTAGTTTTAAAATATTTTGTAGCAATTGAAACAATTTAAATATATGTTTAAATATTATATTAAATACACATTATATATTTATTTATTTAAATAAGTTATAAGTGTTTCAACAAGTTGTGCCGGCCTTTGACTTTGAAAATACCGGTAACTTTAGTAATAAGACTTTAGACATTTGAAAACAAACTTAAAGTTTCTGAAAGCGCATGTAATACATGATGATCATGTATAACAGAAACATTATGAATACTAAGTGACTGATATTCTATTGTATTTCAACATTCTTCGTATAGTTGAATATTTACATTTTACTTTTACGAACAACCAAAGAAAATACCAGTATGAATAATATTCATGCATATGAATATTAATGTGCATGGTCGTATTTCAACCTTGAACCATCTTGCTTTCACTATGCCTTATGCATTGGCAAAATGTACATACGATATCAAAGGTTCATTCACAACACTCAGTCTCACAGCAAATCTTTTGAAAACACCTCGATTTTAGAAACTTGCGGAGCGGTAGCAAACTGTATAGCAAAGCCATAGGTCTGCGTTTACCCTTTTCATGACGTAATTTGTTTCCAGAATGGCATGGCATGTGCTATTCTCAGGGTAAAACACGACGTTTTCTCACAGAAACCATTGCACAATGCGCCTGGGACAGGATTTGCACTATGTCAAAGTTTTTGTATTTGTTGTTGTTTTTTTTTTTTTAGAAATCGATCCTTGCCGGGGAGTGGGGGGTGGTGGTGAGTTATGGGCAGAGGCTTAACCAAAAAGAGGGCATTCACAAATCACGGCTCAGGATAGGGGTTGTCCACAAAGGACGTCCGCACAACCAACTTACCTTTTGCATCCCCCCTCCCTCTGCCTGCATTTTTTTTACTAATGTGTAATGCCAATGTAAAACTAAATCAATGATTTTTAATTATTGTTAAAAGACTTTCAAATAACTGCAGTGTTTCGTATTGATCATCTTACTGCTGTTTTGTGTTGACACATGCTTGGTGTCACAATGACAATGCCTCGGACTACTTTAACTTCACGACTTCATGATCAATGTATGAGTATGTGATTCTCTTCCCGTAGTGTATTTGTGGCGTAATTATATCATGGTGCTAACAAAATAGATACACTGTCTTCCCATTCATTTTTACACCATGCCCCGAGGGATCACATACAATGTTATATTTATAAGGCACCCCCCCCCAAAAACAAAAACAAACCCAAAACAAAACAACTAACAACTGGGTGGGGGTGGGCATGAGAGAATAATTTCAAATTAAGATTCACAATCATATGATAAAACTTACAATTAATAAATATATTTGTATTTCAAGATATTGGGGGAGGGGGGAATAAAGTGGTTAACTTTAAAAATAAATCATGGTTTAACATTACACCCCCCCCCAGCCCCTTCCCTTCCAAAAATAATAAGAAATGCTTTACATGCACTTTGCCACATACGCGTAGACCTTACTCAATATCTTCCCAAGGTAATAAACGAATTTTTAATAGTTTTCAGTTTTAACACGAGTATAACATTAAATCTACAAGTACCGGTTAGGCCAAAAAGTTAAAGACTCGCAAAGACCATAGTTTGGCTACTGTAAATCGCTGCGGTGTACGCAGGCCACAGACCATGATTTAGCTAGGTACACCGCCGCGGTGTACGCAGGCCAAATTCAATAGTTTCGCTAGGTACACCGCCGCGGTGTACGTAGTGCCGGCCTTTTAATTTTTAGTTTAGCCGAAACGTTCTTCTTAATGTCCTGTCTATATATTTCAAGCTTACATATACCTTATTTTCTTCACAGCTTGAACGCAGTCCTTCATTTATTATCCTTTATAGATGAAACCTTTGTTTTAATTAGTAGGATGTAACAAATACGTTATAAATTATAAATATTCACATCGCCGCGTATCTAAGACTGGCAGCCATTTGTAAATAAACAGCTCTTTTGTGAATTGCGAGCAATTTAAATGTTGTTAAAAATGTATATTAAAAAAAGAAAATAAGAAAGAAATAAAATCTACCGGTACTAAGAGAAATTAACAAAGCAAAAATAAAAAAAAACAACTAAAAATAATAAAACTATGAATCAATGAAATAAACAAGGAGAAAAAACGATTTAAAAAAATAATTCTCATACTATTATTGTTATCACACACGGCTCCGAAGCCATTTAATATGTACGGAGCCACTCCGGGTGCGAATAGTCATTGGCAACCATAGGTACCTGGGAACCTATAGATGCAGCCTTATATAATATATTATTATTCAGTATTCAGATATAAATTTAAAGGTGATAATATTTTTGCTTAGCAATTTGAACAGAGCAAATTTTCAAAGAGGCAGGATTTTTTTTAATATAAATGCATTCGATTTTCAATTATAAAGTACGACTTTTGTCTTAGTATATTTAAAATTCGGTTAAATTCTGAGGGAGTGAAAATGGACTACGTGACAAAAATCGGCCTTGACAACGATTGATTGAACTTGACCCCGATAGGTCACTGTCCGTATTTTTGGTAACAACGAAAGTTCGCCGTGTTCTCGGTCAGCGGTCAGTGTAGGAAGTAAGTGATTGTTGAACAATTGTAGCTGGGGATATATTTGTTTATAATTTATATTGAAGTTTCATTACGGTATTGTACGTTCTCATATAATTACTGTTTATTTGTTTATCATATATTTTGACATTTTATAATATCTAGGCTCTAATCATACAAATATGAGTGGTGTGTCGGTGTGAATGTGCCTGAAGACTGAAGTGAAATACCCTGAGGCTGAGGATTATAATTATTATTAAATTATTGGTACGTGTACTCAGTACTGTAACTGTCCTGACGTACTCATTACTCAGTCTCAGAGTCAGAGTTGCTCAATCATTCTAAAATTAAACAGTGCCTCAGAACAGCTCAAATTCAAACTTGGCTAATTTTACTTAGGACTTAGTCTTAGTCTTAGTTGTTAAACTTTAACTAGAATAGACTATATAATGGCCTAGACTATTATAGTCTAGTTTAATACTTTAGATTTAGTAACTTTAGTGACATTAGACTCATTTGTGTAGAAAAATCAGATCAGAATTCAGAGCAGAGTAGTGAGTAGCGTAGAGACGAGACCCAGAGTTAATTAACTTAAGGGAAGCGTTATCCACACAGCTCTGTGAATAATGTTTAGCGTTATCGGCAGACCGAGATCTGCGAATAACGCCGAGCGTTATCGGCAGACAAAAATCTGCGAAAAATGCAGAGCGTTATTGTTAGACAGAAATGATCCCATAATTACGCACATTTCTAGAAATAATTAAGATCACACTCCAAGCTGGGGTAGGGGTGTAGTTTTAAGTAGTGTAGGATAGATCCGTCATTAATGAGAATGGCACAAACACATCTCAAAACTGAAGCTACCGGTTTGCACAAGTAAAATATAAAAAAATTAATAGGCCTAACTATAGCCTATATATTGGATATAGGACAATTAATTGTGCCTACATCTGCTCTGTTAGGGGACAACATATTCGACCTATAGAGTGTTACTAATAGTTCCAGTCAAACCTCCTACTCCTAGACATAGCTAATTTTCTGGTATTTCATATTAAATGTTATACCAGTAATAAAAATGGTACCGGTATTCTTCATGTAGACTCACTTTCACCCATTGTAGAGATATCTTTAAATGATGTCAAAGCTTGATAGGATATCGTTTAGTTTTTTTTAAAGCACTATGATATATCACGAAGTCCAGAAATGTTCTGCCAGAAATAGTTGACATGCCGTACAACAGTGTTGTGATGCAGAGAGGTGTCTGCATCAGGCGGCCATGTGAGAGACGGGGAGGGGCATATAGGTCCTACATCGATAATAACAGAATCTAATCCTGTTTAAGTTTAAGGCTAGTATTTTTTCCTGATCCTGTTTCAATTATCAACATTTTTTTTTACAAGAGCTAAAATTGTTGATGTCAACTCTGAGATCTAAAATATTTGAATAAGTAAGTTATTAATAATTATTTGTTTATTAGAGAAAAAACAAATGGATGTTAAAGTCTATGAGTGGAATTATACAAAGAAAATTAAACAGTCAAAAGAGCTAAAAAGTATATCACAATGTACAGTTAGAACAGCTGTATATGAGTTTAACATGGTTTATGCGGCTCATCTGCATGTCCATATGTTGTTTACATTTTTTTAACGAAACTTGAATGAACATTCTAACAAAATAGATTGAAACTTGTAACATAAGTAACAAAACTATATGAAAATAATAATAAAACTATGTGTACAGAATAAGAAGAATATGAAGAATATTATTATAATATAACACTACCAAATAAACATAAATTATTTTTTTTTAAATTTTATTTATAAAAAAAAGAGGCTTCCCCGACGGGGAATCGAACCTATGTCTACCGGGTGATGGGCGGAGATACTGACCAATATACTACTGAGGAGATGTTTAGATACGAACTTTGTATTTTATATTCATAATTTTATTCATCACATTCTGCAAATAATGTTGAGCGTTATCGGCAGACCGAAATCTGTGAATAACGGCGAGCGTTATCCGCACAGCTCTGTGAATAATCACTCCGATTTACTTAATTCAACTAACTGGAATATTCAGATTTGATTAATAGTTTGGTAATCTACCACTTGAGCGTCGGCCAAGAAAAAATCCAGCATAAAAAGTAATGGCTCTGTTTCACTATTTTTCACTCACAAGTGACAAGCTTTAGGCTGGCCAAGCATTACATATTTATTTCTAAAATATTTCTGCATGTCGAAAGCACCTTGCGCTGTACTTGGCTATATTACAAATTAAATAAAATTATTATCTAAAATCTTCCAATGATTATATTTTTTACTATGCAGAAAATGTAAGTGAATAAGTGAAAAATTATTTTAAATTTTTTCCTAAGTCTAAGGTTTTATCATTTCCTGCCAAATGAAGTTTGAAAAGAAATATTACATAAGCCTTTTTTTTAAGTTGCAAAACAAAATCACAAAACATACTATTAAATCAATTATTTTATCCACAGTTACTTGTAAAGGTTATCTTCATAAGACTGTCTTAGGATGGCAGTCAATGAAGCCAAAGACAGGGTATTTCAGCTGGAAAATGCCATCCAGAAATTGGATTCTGTTAAAAAGCACTTAAATCGTAATGCTTCTGATGTGAGTTGATGTTTATTTATTAAAGATATCTTGGTCAATATAAGTGATTCTCACAATTTTGTCACCTTCTGTTCCATAGGGTTTTTTTTCTTCTTCTTAACAGCATGTTTTCTGAAGCTGGAAATGTTAATATTTATCATATATTAATGAATAGATCTATCTTATTTAACATTTCTCATAGATGAATCTAGATTCATAATTATATCAACTTGTTGCAGTTGCGATGATTTGAATCATGATTTAAATATCTACTATAAATATCATGATTAAAAATGTTTTAAATTGTTTTTAATTAAGGCACTTGTTAACAAGAGCCATGCTATGCTTGTCTGCAAACCCTGAATATTTATGGTCAAATACAAAGAAAGTATAATAAATCAATCTTGCACTGGTCTTTGGTGATATTTCAAAAATTGTCCACCATTCTGACAAACTTAAAAGTAGGGAAGCACTGGACTGGAGCTCCTGAAGTTAAATAATTCATCGCAGTTAACCGGAGCTTGACTTATGTCTTATGACAACAATTTGTGACAATCTGTTATGTGATGAAATTTAATAAAACAAGAAAATTGTTTTCTAAAAGTGTATACAGAGGATTTCCTGGGATTGGAAAATTTCACGGAAAGTCTTTTGTTTGCTAAAAATCATGCAGGATTCTGGGGAGAAACCATACTAGCTAAACATACCACCCCCCAAACTTTATACATTCTATTTTAAAGAATATTTTTGTCAAGTTTCCAATGAGACATATAACACCACTTGCTAAAACTACATATTTTGACACATTAACCCTCTGGAGATGTAAGGGCCGATTTATCGGCCCAAGTTTGACTAGCGAGAAAGGCGTAAGTCCGAACTATCGGCCCGATAAATCGAGCCTCACGATTGGCTGGCTTGGCGTTATACCAGTGAATCAAAATTATTCTTACGTATTCCTGCACATCCCGGCATTGTAATGGCGGCGTTCGTTGAAGGTGAACTTAATTTATTTGTGTGCAGGAATTTTTTTTGTTTGTGTGTAGTTACATCGTTAAATTGGAACATGTCTGACAGTGACTCTGATCAAACTGCTTAGTGATTTTGATGTTCTAGCATTGAATCTGACACTGAAACTGATGAAAACAACCAGGAAATTAATGAAGACTTTCATATTGAGGGTAATGCTAATATTGTGAACTCTTGGTTTAGTATTCCTCAAATGGACAGAGATGACCCCTCTGAATTTTTAGACAACATAGGTCCTATAAATAAGGCATAAGCACCACATTTTAGTACTTTATGCTATTTTTTTTACACTAAATATCACTAAAATGTTTATGAGAGAGACCAATAGATATGCAAACAACTTTCTCAGTAACATCCAGCTGAAGAGAAGGTCCCTAGGTCATAAATGGGGGCCTGTTACAGTGTGTCTGTAACAACTGAAAAATAAGGGGGGGGGGGGTGGAAAAGGAGTAGAACCATGTGTAAGAGGTATCTGAAGGGCCTCCATGGGCCTTGTCTCTCAAAAACATAAGTGTTAGGACTTATTCAGTAAATGGGGGCCTGTTACAGTGTGTCTGTAACAACTGAAAAATAAGGGGGGGGGGGGTGGAAAAGGAGTAGAACCAGGTGTCAGATGTATCTGAAGGGCCTCCATGGGCCTTGTCTCTCAAAAACATAAGTGTTAGGACTTATTCAGGCTTCATCCATCAAAAAATTCACACAATTGATACAATTAAGTCATGTTTAGTCTAGGTGTAACAAAAAATTACAAGCATAAATTATTCAAATTAGGGTAGCTCATTTGCAGAAATTTTGATATTTCAGTTTGATTCATAAAGATTGTATTAGTTCATTCAATTTCCTACAAGAATATATATAGTTTTACATATATTAAGGGAATAGTTTATTTTTTTATAAATCTTTTTGCAAAGTGAGTGCCGAGCTCGTAAAAAGGTCTCCGTCTTTTTTGGCACATACATCCGAAAAGGCTACGTCTCCAGGGGGTTAAGGACAAACTGCCACACAGTTTAGCCTGAACTGACTCCTTAATGTCCTTAACTGCAAAGGAAGTGTTGTTCTAGGTATATTGCTAATGTTGAAAGGATCAAGTAAAAGCAAAGCAATGTAATCCTATATATATATATTTTTAGTAGTAGTTTTAAATAGCTCTGTACCCCAGCCTAGGGCTGGCCTCACCACGCTGTACATGCAATTCAACAAACATAATCATGAACTTATAAATTAACATACATTAATTAAATAAAACAAAACAAATGTATATTGACTCCACCCATTCCAGAACTATTTACATGTCAAGTCATGGACGGCACCTAGCAGCATCGTTTATCAGTCAGAGGGGGGAATCAGTCAGGATAGTAGAGTTTAAAGAGATGTGTTTAGAGTGCAGTTTTGAAGGCTGTGATGGTCCGTATATTGCGGATGTGTAGTGAAAGAGAATTCCATTGTTGGGGGGGGGGGGGGGGGGGGGCAGAAAGAGAACAATCGTTGACTGTATGTTTTTGTGGGGGTCTTGGGGACAGAAAGAATACACACGTCTGCAGAGGAGCGAAGCTGTCGAAGGGGTGAATAGACAGAGAGAAATTCGGTTAGATAGGAAGGGCATGAATTCAAGAAAAAGTTGTGGCAGAGAACAGAGAGTTTGTAGTCAATCCATGCTTGTACAGGGAGCCAATGAAGTGAATGAAGTAGTGGTCTGGCATTATCACGTTTTTTTTGCCTTTAGAACTAGCCTAGCAGTTCAGTTTTGAACATTTTGTAATTTTTCTAAGAAGTGTTTTGGTGAACCTGAAAAAGTTTTTAGTTCACATTTTGTTTAAAATGCACTAATAATAAAAAGCATTACAGGATTATTTTTTAATAAAAGTCAATGGCTTAAAAAAATGTATGTTAGTCCCATTTGAATATAAAATTAAAACTTAGGGAAAGTCACTATTAGAGCATTTTTGGAGTTTACTTAGTTGGGAAAGATTATTTGCTAAATAAGTTGCTTTAATTAGTTGAGCTTGTTGATCATCTTTTGATGGTCATCATATATTGTTTTTATCATTGTCATTTCATATTGTTTTTATCATTGTGATCTTATATTGTTTTTATTATTGTCATTATAAATTGTTTTATGATAAAGTCCTATAGTGCCAGGAATGTTAATTTATTTCCTCAATCTTACCATATTATTATATTTTGATGGTTGGGGAAAACCCTCAATTAGGACAATTGTTGTGTAATTTAAAAAAATCAAAGTGGGTTTTTTTAAGGAAGTTTATTATAACAATTTTCTGTGTGATGATTTTTCTTCATCAAAGCATTTAAAATCAAAGAAATTGTTTTGAAAATGTTAAGATATTCTTTGACCCTTCTTTAAGAATAGAAATGTTAAAAAACTTAATTGTGCAATTAGATGCTTTTTTAAATCAAAGTGTGATTCTCAACAAAAAAATGTGCCCTTGTTTATTTTCTTTCAATTTTTTTAGGTTATTTTTAAGATGTTCAATTCTTATCCATTGGAAAAGAAAAAAAAGGAAACATTTTAAAGTTTGAGAATGATTTGATGTTAACATTTTTAAAAAAAAAACTCAACACAAAATTTGAAGTTTGATTACCTACCATTTCAATCCTCCCAAAAAAACTTATACTGTTGCATTATAATGAAAATCTGTCTATCTAGTTTCTTTTACCCCTTTTTTTTTTAGATGTAATAGCAGACCTGTTTACCCTCAAGTCCTTAAAATTGTACAATATTATCACAGAATCATTCAATACATTATCTTAATAGTAAAAAAATTAACATACAGTATATATAATGTATACACCTCAAAATCGTACATTGTACGCCAAAGTCGTAAGAGTAAACAGGTCTATAATAGGATTGTGGGTCACTTTGCCTTTATAAAATGAGGTAGTGACTCAAAATAGTTTAGGAACCTGTAATCTAGAAACTTAACCTACATAGCTGAGATTTTGAAAGTTTAATTACATGTACCACAAAAGAGAACTGGGGCATCAACTTAAGCTTTCTAGGTCAATGGGATCATAATTACTGCAGAGCCCACAAATTTGAAAAATATCACACAAAAGTTGAAAGATTATTTTTAATTTGTTAAGAATGTAATTGCTACTAGTGGTTAACAATTTCTTGTATACAATTATTTTTATTTTATTTTTGTGTGAAGCATTTTGTAATGGAACATTTGGTTAAAATCTAGATTAAATTACCCTGGGGCTTAATGCAGTCATTCTTTATAGACTTTAGGCAATTTCCGGATGAGATTGTTGGAACATTTTACTCTTCTTTAACCAAAACATAACTACATCTTACATTTGTTGAATAGTAAAAGCTGTGAACTGGCAACTTGGATGCAATAAATATTTTAGCCATCATCATCTGCAATCTTAATGCCATCGAAATTTAAAATTGAAACTGAAAATGGCTAAATTTTAAGAACTTCAACCCAAAACCTACGTCAATAATCCAATTTTTTTTTTAAAAGGTCTTTTGTTTTCCCATACAGATCAAGGCAGAGATTCACACTAACGTAAGCCGTAACCTGGAATGCTTGAGGGGCAGAGAGGTCAGTTTGTTGAGTCAGGTGGACCGCGTGCTGGGGATGAAGGAGGAATCCCTGCAGCAACAGCAGGCCAGACTGAATCAAGCCCTCGGGGTTATACAGACTGGGCTCTCCATGGTACAAGAAGACACGGCTTCTGAGAAACAGTTGGCAGAAACTCTAAAAAAGTAATTTTTGTGCAAGAACATTTAGTAGTTTATTATTAGCTTAAATAAAAAAAAAATATCTTTAGTCAACGTTAGTTGTCAGAAGCATGAAGTTATCAGTGCTGTCCAATCTTTTCAACACTGTGTCACTTACAACTTTGTCGTTGAGCCAAAAGCAGCACCAGAAAATGCAAATGAGAAATATAAATTATCTACATTATGTCTTGCTTGAGAGGGTATAATTTATGCAGTATTAATATTATGCAATATAACTATAAGGTGTGGACTGCTGTAAAATATTTACCATATGTTATTTTGTTGATCATTTGTTTCTTGGTTTACACAGTACTTTCCTATAATTTTGAATGAAAATGGCTTCTAAAAACAAGGATATTCTTCTACCTTCAGATTAAAGAGGGTGGAGCTCTCCCCAGAAGAAACTCCCTACATTTCATTTAGGGCCGACCATGTAGGCATAAGGGAATCTATTCTAAATTATGGCCGTGTGGATGCCAACGGCTTACCCCTGATCACCGCTTTTGATGACCCGGGCAATCCATCTGCCAGTCTTCCTCGCCATGTGGAGGAATATGAAGACGTTGATCACCATGTGTTCTACAAGACCGTTGAGGAAGTCAAGAGGTCCCAGAATGCAGGATCTTGCGTAAGTAATATCATGCTCCTTCAAGCACCCAGCATTGTTGTATTGAAAGATGTACTAGTGATGTAGTCTTGATTCAAACGGTGAACTGCATGATTTTTTTAACACACGTAGTCCGAGACCGTTGATTTCATCTCATGAGATTGATATCAGTGTTTCCCAAACTTGTTTCCCTGAAGACCACTTTGAGCAACACTGGTCTAGATCCCCACCATTGTTGAAATCATGGTCAAGTGGGATTTTTTTTTATAGTTGTTTTACAATTATGTAATGATAAATGTTCTGATAAATTACTTGGATCTAGAATTGTTGATTAGAATTTACTAATTCACAATGTTTACTAAATCAAATGTACCTGGACTAGTGGGAAAACATATATTTATAATAATTGTTTTCAATCCCTCTGGAATTATTAACTGAAGGACATCAAAAAGTATTGTTAAATGATTTTATGACCTTAATACTAATCTATAGCATTTTATTCAAGAAACTGGAACAGATTCAATATATTAAATTTTAGCGTCACCAAAACATTCTTTGAACAATCTTTCTCTTTCTGTGCCCCCAAAGCAATGGAATTCCCTCCCGTTGCACATCCACAATATAAGGACCATCCCAGCCTACAAAACTGCCCTCAAGACCCATCTTTTCAAACTGTACTATACCGAGGCATTCTCACTCCCCCTCCCCCCCCTCTGACTGATTAAAAAGAAACACTTGATTCTGCTGGTTGCTGTCCATGGCTAGACAGGGATAGATGGTACTTGGGTGGATGAGGTCAAGCTTTTCACCAATAGTTGTTTTTAAATGTGTACATTTCTGTAATTGCTCATTTTTATGTGAAGCGCAGTGAGCCTAACTCTAGGCTGGGGTAATGCAGTGAGCCTAACTCTAGGCTGGGGTAATGCAGTGAGCCTAACTCTAGGCTGGGGTAATGCAGTGAGCCTAACTCTAGGCTGGGGTAATGCAGTGAGCCTAACTCTAGGCTGGGGTACTGCAGTGAGCCTAACTCTAGGCTGGGGTACTGTGCTATATAAAACTACCTAATGATAATAATAATATTAAACTCTTTCTAGATTACTGTGTCAATACCTAAACTATCCAATCGCGTTGAAGACTGGCTCCAGAAGAAACTACCAACCCCAACCTACAAGTCGGAGACAGAGACGGTGGCCAGACCCTTGCCAGCCATTCGTCCCAGCACCCTGACCAAGACCGGAGACAGCCCTCCTGTTGGCCTCTCACGCTCATCCACACCTGGAAGTACCTGCAGCCTCAACAACTGGCTCAGCATCATAAAGCAACACGCTGACCTGGAAGAGGAGCACGATTTTGAAATCATTGACAACTCTTGTCCACCACCAAGGGGTCAGTACTCTTTTGAGTTAGTGTCAAAAAGAAACAAAAATTAGTTTTAAGGTTATTTTTTCAATTCATTGTTTGTATTCAAAAATTACAATAATATTGATTACTTGCCAATTATATGGCGTTGAGAGTGAAATGATAAATTTATTCAAGCTCAAACATCTGTTCACCTTTACTTTTCGTAATCATATCTCACTGTTACCATCTGGGCATCTTAGCACACACACCATAATTAACATCTTTTATGATCTGAAATATTTGGACTATATTGTTATGTCCTCAAATGTTTTAACACTGTTAATCTCTTATTTGTATAGTAATGAGTGACTCTGTGATCTACGTAGGCCCTAAGAAGGAAAATGTGAAGATGATTGACAAAGGCCTAAAAGCTTGGCTGGACCCAAAGAGCTTAATGAATGAACAGTTTACCAGTGATTTCTTCAAACATATTCCCACAGATGCTAAAGTGAGTATGTTTTGCAGATGCTAAAGTGAGTATGTTTTGCAGGTGCTCTCTCCCATTATCAACAAGTTGATGGCTAAAACCTTAGTGTGCAAGGTTATCTTGCTACTCTGTCCTAACCTTTAGTATTTCTGATGGTCTCTCCCATTATCAAGTGGACAGCTAAAACCTTAGTGTGCAAGGTTATCTTGCTACTCTGTCCTAACCTTTAGTATTCCTGATGGTCTTGCAATGTTTGGGATGCAGTGAATGATTTCAGAAAATAATATTTTTGTTTTTTTAGACATGAGGATGATTTAATTGGTTATATAAGGAAAGATCATTAACATCAATACTTTTCAAGTACCATTTTCTTTCAGTAGAAATGTTAATGTGCTTTATCATAAATTTGTCTCCAGAAAATTTTTGAGAATAGTGTACAACTAAGAACCCAGTATGTAACTAGGGTAACTGGTTTGGTCCAGGATATTGAACTGCTATCTTTGTTGTCCTATCTCAGGTTTGGCTCCAACAGTTTCATACCCAAGTCACCAGTCTGGGGGATCTACAGCACCATGACATGTTCGCCCACATCAGTAAAGACACTTCCACTTGGCTGAGGTCAAGGGCTTCTGGTAAACAATTGACCGAAGAAGTGAAAGGTGGACCTGATTTCTTCTCTCACATTCGTAAAGACAAGGAATTCTGGCTACTAAAGAAGGTAACTATGGACTACTGAGTGGGGTAAAAATTTTCTTAGGCATGAAAGACTCAGCCATTCTAAATGGTTTTCATAAATGTTTAGATTAGTTAAGTCTTGATCAAATAAGCTGTTACACTGGTTAAGTCTTGATCAAATAAGCTTTTGGATTGGTTACATCTTGATCACATAAGCTGTTACACTGGTTAAGTCTTGATCAAATAAGCTGTTACATTGGTTAAGTCTTGATCAAATAAGCTGCCTATTGCAAGGAAACAAAGTTTACTCTACTGAGACAGATAATCTTTGTTAAAAAATCAGTTTGTGAGTTTAATGTTGTGCTAAAATATTGTCCCAGGCTCTTAGTTATGACAGTATATATTTTAACATACCATGACGATGTTACTAAAGCTGGGATGCCGTATTTTGAACAATGATAGACTTCTGAGCTTTAGAAATGATCTAATGATGAATGTGTTTAAATTTCACAAGAGAATAAGTGATCAGAGGTTTTATGATTAACATTTTGTATTGTTTTATTTTAATAAACTGCTATCCATTTTTTAAACAAAAAAATCTACCCAACCCACATGAGGCACAAGTTTAATATAATGTGGCTAATGTGACATAAACGTTTTATAGTTATAGTTTTCATATTAAAACCAGCAGTGTTGCATATTTGAAAGCTTGTTGACCTTAGATGTTTTTATAATCTAATAAAACTTTTACTGTATAATTAATTGTCTTGCAGACTTCAGTAAAGCCAAATGAGAAAGTTCCAGTGAGCGCTGCCAAATTTTGTGTACAAGACTGGCTAAAGAAAGAGGAAAACAAGTTGCCTCTGCCAAGCCAGAGCTTACCACGGCTTCTAGAAAAGTTGAGTACTGAAGATGAACCAAACATAAATATACCAAATTGTGTGGCACCCGCCACCAAGGAAGAAGTTGCTGCCCCTGTACCAGCTCACTTTCCTGATACCAGTCCCCCAGTCCTGTCTGTTTTCCAGCCGGTCAGTCTACCTCTGAATGATTGGCTAATTCCCAAAAAGCCAACCGAAGGGGTAACGATTTCCAAGAAAACTTTACCAGAGAAACCATTCCCAGATTTCTTTCGGCACATTCTAGAAACCGACAACTCTGTGTGGCTGGCCAAACCCACAATTGTTGGGATTCCGGACGAGACCCCCCGGGTAGACAAAATCTGGTTGCAGAAGAGCAAGGGTACCACCACACACGCACCATTGCCCGTTGGATCGGATTTGTGCCTTCTGGACTGGCTGATGGTACCCTCGGAGCAGCCGGAAGTTGAAAAGGAGAAGGAAGAATCTGAAGGTTGGAGCGTCTGCTCAGATCAAAGTATAAACAGTGAGCAGTATGCCAAAGATGTGGCCATAGCTACAGATTATATGCATAAATGGTTGCTGTAATCAGCCCCCTACAGATTATATGCATAAATGGTTGTTGTAATCATCCCCAAATTTAAATATGCTGTACAGTGAAGTGCTGCCAAAACTAAAGATTCAGTAATGCTTGGGTGGGGGGGGGGGAAATTGAATAAAAAATGGGGTAATTTGGCCTAATGGGATTAATGATGTAAAAAAATATTTTTCATAAATGGTTGTTGTAATCATCCCCAAATTTAAATATGCTGTACAGTGAAGTGCTGCCAAAACTAAAGATTCAGTAATGCTTGGGTGGGGGGGGGGGGAAATTGAATAAAAAATGGGGTAATTTGGCCTAATTGGATTAATGATGTACAAAAATATTTTTGGGTGCAGAAAAGCTTGATAGGTGACTTGCTTTATTTCACACAGCGTGAATGGCACTAGATAATTTACTTTTGATTTAAAGCTGCACCAATATTGAAGGGAACAAAAAAAGAGAAAAACTTAATCACTATGTGTACGAATGGTAGCTCAAATAAAAGGTGCTACTTCTGTGTCAAGTCTAAACTTTTATTTTTGAATGATATTTTTAAAAAGTACGTAATTTTTTTTTCCCCTAAGTTTTTAAAAGTTCCCCATTGTTTATTTAGCATAGGTTGGAATGTCTACATGCTTCCTTTGAAAATAAATAACTAAGTTTACTTCTATTTATGAATTTGATAAAATGTTCAAAATCAAGTTTTACAATTTAATTTGTTAATTATACATAAATAATATTATTTCTTGGTGCTGAAAGACAAATCATAGCTACGTTCTGTTACTGTGAGTGTTTAACTGTCACGAATAAAATTTTAAAAGAAGTTAACATTTTCGAAACTTTTGCTTAAACCCATCGTACAATGCCTTGGTACTGCAACGCCTTGGTACAGATTTATTAAGCTTAAATCCCTTCTGTGTTTTACATTGATTTTTCTAGGACTAGGAGATCATTGGGGATATTCCTATTAAAAATTTAAGGATGCACTAAACGGTATTTTACTTTTCAGTCATAAAGAGATAGAAAGTCAACCAGTACTTGAAAATCTGGCCATCAAAAACAATTAGCTGATCTTCCATCAGATTTAAATTATATCTGGTTGGTAGTTGCATTTAGGCCTCACCTTATTTGATCTTAGCTCTCATACTGGGTAAATTGTTCAGATTTCAAGTCACTCTTATTATTGATAATGTTATTGTTTTTTTTTCATATATATGTAGTTTATATATAGAAGAGAGAAAAAATTATCTTCATACAGAAGCATTAATGTGTGCAACTCTAATCATTTTGAAGCACTTGGTAGTTTACTGCTAAATAATGGCTGTACAATTCCTATTGATGGATCACTCAAGCTGTACTGTTAGCAACACTGAATTACCTCTCCATGGGACTGTTTTTGTTGTTCATTGACCATCAGTTTAATCTTTCATTTTAACGACACTACTGGAATTTTAATCAAAACATGAAATTACATTTCCTCAACTGCTAGTAATTACAATTATGATTTGTAGTGGCATTTTTAAGCATTAGATTATTTACCATGTAATTGTCTTACTTTTTTTCAAAGACATCTACTTTTTCCAATGGGATCTAGTTTAACAAATAACCAGGGTTTATTAGTATGTTTTCATCAGTTTTTGTAATAGAAGAGATCATCAACTCAGTCAGGCTGTCCTGATGTGAGGATGTCTTTCATAGCTGAGTCAGGCTGTCCTTACGTAAGGATGCCTTTCATAGCTCAGTCAGGCTGTTCTTATGTAAGGATGCCTTTCATAGTTCAGTCAGGCTGTCCTTATGTAAGGATGCCTTTCATAGCTCAGTCAGGCTGTCCTTATGTAAGGATACCTTTCATAGCTCAGTCAGGCTGTCCTTATGTAAGGATGCCTATCATACATCTTGCTTTAATGTGTAACCTTCATGTTGAGCATTTCCCCCATTGCTGATCTAAAGCAGAAACGAAAATCATGGATTCTTGCATTTTTCATTGAACTTTATATATGATGTAAGATAAACCAAAGAGTTTACATTTTTTACATAATCAAGCAGTTTTATTGTTTATGTTGTCTGTAGACATTGAAAATGCTAATCATCATACTAAGAAGAGCTCAGAATTGTTAATACTCAGAATTTAAATTTAAAAAAAAAAAAAAAGGGCTGTGATATTTAAATTATTTCATTTAATAGTATTTCTGTCTCTGAGAATCACTGAAATGAAAAAACAACTTGTTTGTTCCGTTAGCTTTTTGCTTATAATCAAGCAGTTTTATTGTTTATGTTGTCTGTAGACATTGAAAATGCTAATCATCATACTAAGAAGAGCTCAGAATTGTTAATACTCAGAATTTAAATTTAAAAAAAAAAAAAAGGGCTGTGATATTTAAATTATTTCATTTAATAGTATTTCTGTCTCTGAGAATCACTGAAATGAAAAAACAACTTGTTTGTTCCGTTAGCTTTTTGCTTCAAACTTTTTTTCTTCTACACTAATGCCAAAGCTTCTGGTAGTCACTCATATTTTAGTTGGAGATATTATCAAATATTTGCCTGTGTTGAAAACTGTCCTGGCTATAAATACCAAATGGTTGGTTTGGTTGGTCGGAGAACTGTGAAATGAGTTTGGTATATATTTGGACTAATGGTTATGATCACCTACAAACTCAAAAGCTGCCCAATGGTACAAGTTTATGGGTGAGAAGGTGATGTGACATTTCAGAGGGTACAAGGAAAAGATGATAAGAACACAGGAGAATTAACTTTAAAGTTTATCATATAACAGTGATTAACAGTTGTTGTCTTTAAAAAATTCTTGACCAATGTTACTTACATCTGTAATTGTAAGTCACAAGTTTATATCCTTAGTAAATTAACTTTGTATTGCAATTTTAAATAATAATTAGAAGTCCATTTTTTTTCCAATTTTAAAATGGGTTTTGGGGATATAAGACTTAGTCAAACATTGGGGGAGGGGGGGGGGGTTGTGTTTGATATCGCACATTATAGAAAGGATGGGAAACACTGAATTTAGGCATGAGGGTAAAAAGCTCTTTTCAGTTTGTTGTAACTACTCTTTTTAAATACAGATTATTTCCCTTATTTATTCTTTTAACAATTCTTCTTGATACCCTTTCTTTAATTTTGATGTAAGTTATGTAAGCTTGCCTGTGCTCAGGTAAGCTTACAGTGAGCTTTAAAGATGTTTGCTTGTCTATTCATGAATTTATAGACCAAATCCTATTGGTATCCTTTATTAGAAGCAAGGAATGAGGAAGATGAAGTTCCTTTTTGTTGTCTATGTAAGTTTAAGTAGAGACTGAAATGAAGAGTCATTGTCATTGTGACCAAATGACGTTGTCATTCACAGCCTGCCAATCATAGGGTACGATTATAACTTGATGATTAAAAGTTTAGAACCTGTGTTAAAGATTTTCTTATTCAATGTTTGAAATTGTATGTCGCTCCACAGTGTTGTATTTCAATTAGATTGTTTCCTCAAACATTCGCTACATTTAACTAGGAAATTTTGTTTACATTTAGAGTTCAACTTTTTTTGCAATTGAAATATATAATTTATGTTATGTTTATATTATAAACATATAGATAAAATAAACAAAATCCTTAATAAAATGTGTTAATAAATTAACATAAACAGGTTACCCAATAAAATCTCTTTTTTAAAGCAGTTTTTCTAAATATTTTTTGTAAGGTTAAAAATCCATTGCCTTAAATAGATGTTATTGTAGCAGGAAATCTGCTGGCCCGTTTTGTCCTTGAGGTCTAATCCCTGATTCAGATTATGTTCTCATTTCAGACATCTCAAACTTTTTTCTTTGTTTGTTCACCCAACTAGAGATGACCTAGTGGGATGTCTGACACATTCTCTGGGGAGCTACAAAACATTCAGACCCACTGGGTGGCTTCAAGTGTTGGTGCTTTGTCAGCTTGTAGTGTTTAGACATGAACTTGAAGAGTCATTTTTCTACCATAGACTTAAATTTTAGATCCCCACCCCCATTTTTTTCCTCTTACATTTTAGTTTTCAGGTGCATCACATGGGAACCCACAGGATCACATTGGAACCCACAGGATCACAATGGACCCCACAGGATCACATTAGAACCCACAGGATCACATTGGACCCCACAGGATCACAATGGACCCCACAGGATCACATTGGACCCCACAGGATCACAATGGACCCCACAGGATCACATTGGAACCCACAGGATCACATTGGACCCCACAGGATCACAATGGACCCCACAGGATCACATTGGAACCCACAGGATCACATTGGAACCCACAGGATCACATTGGAACCCACAGGATCAAAATGGACCCCACAGGATCACATTGGAACCCACAGGATCACTATGGACCCCACAGGATCACATTGGAACCCACATGATCACAATGGACCCAAAGGATCACATTGGACCCAAAGGATCACATTGGACCCAAAGGATCACATTGGAACCCACAGGATCACATTGGAACCCACAGGATCACAATGGAACACAATGGAAACCACAGGATTCCAATGTAACCCTCAGGATCACATTGGACCCAAAGGATCACATTGTACCCAAAGGATCACATTGGACCCAAAGGATCACATTGGACCCAAAGGATCACATTGGACCCAAAGGATCACATTGGACCCAAAGGATCACATTGGAAACCACAGGATCACAATAGAACCCACAGGATTACAATGGAACCCACTGGATCACAATGGAACAAAATGGAAACCACAGGATCACAATGGAACCTTCAAGATCACAATGGAAAACACAGGATCAAAATGGAACACAATGGACCCCACAGGATCACATTGGAACCCATGGGATCACATCAGAAACCACAGGATCACATCAGAAACCACAGGATCACATTGGAAACCATAGGATCACATTTAACCCCACGGGATCACATCAGAACCCACAGGATCACATTGGGACCCACAGGATCACATTGGGACCCACGGGATCACATTGGAACCCACAGGATCACATTGGGACCCATGGGATCACATTGGAACCCACAGGATCACATTGGAACCCATGGGGTCACATTGGAACCCACAGTGGAACCCACAGGATCACATTGGAACCCATGGGATCACATTGGAACCCAGTGGAACACACGGGATTACATTGGAACACACGGGATTTGTCTTGTCTTTTGTCTAAATCAGTGATTCTCAACCTTTCTAATGCCGTGACCCTTTAATGCAGATCTTCATGTTGTAGCGACCCCCAACCACAAAATTATTTAGTTGATACTTTAAAACTGTAGATTTTGTGTGTTTTCAGATGATCTTAGGCGACCCATGGGAAAGGGTCATGCGACCCCCCAAAGGGGTCGGGACCCACAGGTTGAGAACCGCTGGTCAAAATGAAAGGTTGACAATGAAGGAAGTTTCAAATGAAACTCTCAAAGGGAGGTAATATATAAAACAAGGTTCATGTATGAATGTTTTTTTTTTTTATTACTTTATTTCATGATCATTTTTAGTCAGAGAGAGTTACTTGAACTTTTACGAGGTGTTTACGTCACATCGCAGGGGAGGTAAGATAATTGCACAAAGGCTTGAGAATGTTCTGAGATATAAGTCTGTAGATAGGTCTGATCTGTGTACTGAATGGATGGGGAAGTCTTGCACTGTGTACTGAATGGGTGGGGAAGTCTTAATCTGTGTACTCAATGGGTGGGGAAGTCTTAATCTGTGTACTGAATGGATGGGGGAAAGGATGGCAGTCGTTTTCGGGGGTTTAAAAAAGAGACTATTGTTATCCGCCACACTGTCACTGTCACACACTTTAATCTGATCTAAAAATATATTGCGGTCTGACACACTCAACAGTGGTAAGTGGCCAGGACACACTCAACAGTGGTAAGTGGCCAGGGCACACTCAACAGTGGTAAGTGGCCAGGACACACTCAACAGTGGTAAGTGGCCAGGACACACTCAACAGTGGTAAGTGGCCAGGACACACTCAACAGTGGTAAGTGGCCAGGACACACTCAACAGTGGTAAGTGGTCAACGAAGGCTTATATTTTAGAGCTGCGAAATGTTCTCATGACCATGGGTGTTACTAGAAGGGGAAGCGTTACACTTAACCAATCAAGAATTGCTGTAGATCTGACCTGGGTACCTTGAGATTGACACATCTTGGTAGACTGTTGGTTTTTTTTTTTTTTAACAAAATAGACTGGTAACGTCATTTGCGATCTTGCTAACAAATAAATTGTGTTTGTAGTACCAAGAATGGCCTAAGATTCGACCCTTCAGAAATGTACAATTTTCAATGGTGTTTTCTGTATTTTTCTAGTGTGTGCTATTTTAATTAGTTGTGGTGTTCATTAGGTATGTGATTCTCTAATGTGTACAAGTGGTGTGTCATTGAGTATGTGATTCTCTAATGTGTACAAGTGGTGTGTCATTGAGTTTATGATTATGGCGAGGGAGATCGTTAAAAAAAAATCTCAAGGACACCGCCTTGGGAGGCCAAGGCTCTAGCTACCTGTGTGACAGTTACATAATATATGGCAGTGCAAGTGTCCCCATCATCCATACGCTGGCGGGAACGGCAAGTTCAAAAGTGTTTACAGAGGAGTATGATGACGTTGTCTAAAAGAGAAGGGCGGTAACTTTGAATGATCTGTGAAAACGCTATGTGTAGTCAATAAATTCCTGTGACTTCTGTAACAAGAAGTTGGTTTATTTTTTCCACATTAAGGGGGGGGGGGAAAGGGGGGGGGGGGGGGAGGCGCGGTCCGCCCCTGGTGGATATTTTTTCTCTTTATGGTGGTGGGTGGCATTTTCGGACAAAAGTATCGGAAGGAAATGGGTTAAAAGACGCTAGACATCATTTTGTCATACCATCAATTTACACAAATGAGAATGAGATTCTGAAACTTTGAGAACATTGGCACAATTCTATTCAGTGTGGTTAGCCTAATTATTCCGACCCAGTTATATAGGAATATTGGAAGGGACACAATCGAGCGAAGTTAAACAAAACTTTCGGTCCGATAGGTCGCAAGTCAACTAGGTCGACAGTCAAGTCAACTAGGTCGACAGTCAAGTCAACTAGGGCGACAGTCAACTTACCTAGGTAGACAGTCAAGTCAACTAGGTAGACAGTCAAGTCAACTAGGGCGACAGTCGAGTTAACTAGGGCGACAGTCGAGTCAACTAGGTCGACAGTCAAGTCATCTAGGGTGACAGTCAAGTCAACTAGGGCGATAGTGAAGTCAACTTTCTTAGTTTAATGTGTTTATTTTCACAATCAATGTTCTTTGCTTCAGCTCGATTAGACATCAGGAAGATTATCAGACTTGAGTTGCCAGATTCGGATAAGCACTAACTGACCAACGGACAGTGGAACCTTTAAAAAAAAGTCAAACGACATATGACTGTAACAACTCTGAAGTTTTGAGGTACCGCTATATTTATTTTATACTTTTTTGCACATTTTTGGAAAAGCTTTTTATATTTTTATTTTTTTTGTTGGTTGTTTTTTAAAGTATTGTTTTGATAATGTTTTTACTTTGTGCTTTTTAGTAAAAGTGTATAAGAGGAGAGTGTATAAGAGGAGAGTGTATAACGTTTCAGCTCAATTGGAGCTAAAGAAGTGGGTCGAAATTGAAAAGTAAAAATTTAATCCGCAGATGCCACTCAAGGGTAAGTGGAGGTCACAGGCGACCTATTGCACATGAGGGGTTGTACTTTCATCGCGGGGGGGGGGAGGGGGGGGAGTGCATAAAGTTTCAGCTCAATGAGATATCAGGATGTAGGTCAAAATTAAGATGACCACCCACAAACAAACAAACGGACAGGGTGAACC